GTCCTTAAAAATAGGGACCACATTAGCCAGTTTCCAATCCCCTGGCACCTGGCCAGATGACCACGAATGCTCATACAGCTGGGCCAAAGGCTCCGCGATGACCCCTGCCAGCTCCCTCAACAGCCTTGGGTGGAGGGCACCTGGACCTGCAGATTTAAGAACGTCTAGCCCTTCCAGAAGATCCCAAACCACATCTGCACTGACTAAAGGCTTGATAGAGCTATCCCCAAGTTTGTCCCTACCTCTGGAAGGGTGGATATCCTGGTCTCTGTTCAGGAAAACAGAAGCAAAGAAACTGTTAAAAATATCAGCTTTCTTGTCTGGCGTGGCCACCAGATTACCGTTTGTGTCTTGCAGGGGCCCGCATCTCCATCTTCTGTTGAGCTTGACCCATGCTTCTGTGTCAAAGTCATGCCCAACAGGGGACTCGTTTGGTGTTGGTATAAAATGCTCTAGGAATAGGTCTAACCTTTCCCAGTGGTTGACCCATAGGTTGGGTTCAGCACCCCCAATCTCTTCCAGGAGCTTGTGGGCTTCATCTATAAATAGTTTACAACTTTTAAGCCTCCATCTATTCAGGTTTGTAGTTAACAGTTGATGGAGTAGGTGATTTTTGTCATGTATTGTCCCTATTACCACTAATGATGTTAGGATCTATCTTCTTATATCATTTAGTCTAATGCCTGAGGGTACAGGGAGGGCATCTGTGTGTAAGTTGTGCAGCCTATTATGAGTCTCAGCACACTGTTAAGTACAGTGTTGAGGTTTTAAGTTTGACAACTTCTGGATCATACATGAGCACAATATTCTGCTGGGGCTAATTGGATTTTTTTCTCTAATTTACTTCCTCTAAAAACCAGGACTTGCTCTTTACCTCTGTTTCTGTATCTGTAAAATGAAGAGAATAAATTTGCTATCCAGGTAATTTTAGTTGGCAATCAGTTAATTTATGTTTTAAGTTTTAGTTGATTAATTCATTTGATTAGTGTTGACACTAATATTAACTAAAATACGAGGGACTAAACATAGATGATGGTTTTATGTCTTGGTTATAATCTAAGACTCATGTCTTATACCCTCTCAGTAATCCACAGGTAATAAACACCCTTTCCCTTCTGACTAGTCTTGTTCTTTTACATACTTAGGTTATCTATTCCACTTCTCTTCCCTTGCTGGGAAGCTACTTTTGATAATATCTCTGGTCTCCTAATTTACAGAGAGAAGTAGTTAGCTGTGTTAGTTTGAAGTCAAGTAGAAGGCAGGATGGATTTGCATGTTTTAGACTAACCAAACTTGCAAATCAATCCTACCTCTTAATTTATAGTCTTCCTCACCAACTTCAAGTGTCCGTTTTATATACGGAGTTGTACAGAAGCCACTGTTTTATCTGGTAGTCAGTTTAGATTATTTCCACTTCTTTCCAAGACCTAACAAAGAGCACATTGTTCCCAAAACTTGCCTAATATCTTTCCCAGCTGGTCCAGTAAAAGATATCACCAAAAAAACCTTGCTTCTCTCCTATTTCTTGGATCATTACAGCTAGAACAATAGTCCAATTCAGTTTAACAGTTCTGTTAATTCGCTAATGTTTATAAAGTGTTTTCAAGATGCAAAACATTTTGCTATTATAAACCCTGAGATTGTATTATTCTTTTTCTATACAGTGTTGACAATTTTGGACTTGGTCTTTTACTTCAAAGTAAGCAGATAAAACGCATGGTATCCTCATATGTTGGAGAGAACGCAGAGTTTGAACGGCAGTATTTATCTGGAGAACTGGAAGTTGAGCTTACACCTCAGGTAGGAAGCGTTCTTTAAAGGATCAGTCAGTTCTTTAAAGCTGTAATGATAGATGATGCTAATCTTATTTTCTTAAGATGTCTTTTCTATTTTAATGTTCTTATGCAGTAGTTATGTTTCTCTTATAGGTAGGGCTGTGTTGTAAATACACCTAGCAGTTTCTCAACATTTTGGAGTGGACTGCTATTGATTTGAGAAAATGGATTGCTCATTATGACGTGTTGTGGTTTTTGGTGATAAATTGCTTTGCTAAAAAAAATATGACACGTTTGCTGCTTGGTATTGTTAACATCCACAGTATGCTAGAAAAACGGGGAAGGTGCAGATTTTTTCCCCACATGGTTCATGCTCGTAGAAAGTTCAGAGGCAGAGAGTTCAGTACTCTGGAGATGGAGAGTCAGCTTTGGGAAGGGAGCCAGGAAGTTACTGAACCAGGAAGCCAGGAGTTCGGAGTGAAAGTGAGCAGAGTGGAGCAGGAATAGAAGATAACCCAGTCTGTGGAGATGAGGGAGGAGATAACTGGGAAGAGGAACAGAGGGTGAGAAATGAATCCTAGGCACTGATGGTTTGGGGTCAGGAAAGGGACAGGTGGGGAGTAATGGTTCGAGGACAATGGTGAAAAGATAAAGTGGGGCAGACAACAAGGCACAGATGCACCTTATAAACTAAGTTGGTGCTTTTAACCATTTTGGGCCCCTGGGCCAGAAGAGTAGTGTGGGGCCATTCCATTGGCCAGATCCACAGTTGGGTTAGTGCACAGGCCTGGTCCAGTGCATGGTTGATGCACAAGGGAGGTCTGTAGGTCTGATCCAGTGTGGGGGCAGAGTTAGTCCATGGGTGCGACCAAGTGCATTGGACATGGCCATGGAGTGGCTAGTGCACAGGACCATGTCATCCCAGCCCGTGGGGCTCCTCATGGGCCTAGAAATTTGATGGCAGGGGAGCAGTGTCCGTGTCAGTTGCCATGGGGCTTTGCTGTGGCAATTAATACCGCCAGAGCTCCGTGGGCTGGCTCCATCACACTTGCTGTAGGTGAATTTGGGAGACTATCTGGTCATATGAAGTAACAAGACGAGTGAGAGACTGAAGGAAGTAGGGTTGGGTATTTGACCGGTCAAATAAAGTTTGGTCAATTGACCAGATAAATATTGGTAAAAAAAATAGTAAAAAATTGCCAATAGGTCCAAACAATACACAGAAAAGCACAATTTTCCATTAAGAAATGTGTCAAAAACAACAAAAAATCATATTTCTGTCAAGAGAACTAAAAAAATAATTAGCATTTTTACCAAAAAATCTACAATCTGTCATGGGTTAAAAATATGCAGTAAGACTGGTCAATTGACAATATTTATCCAGTCAACTGACCAACTTGCCAACCCTAGAAAAAAGTAAGCCTTAAATTAGAGAAGGTGTCTTGTAAAAGTGTCTTATATAAGGGTGTGCAATTACTGGTAGTTTTGAATGCAATTGGTGAAACTGTCTCTGGTTGTGGTCCGTGCCCCAGGAAAAGAATTGTATTTTTGCAGCTTTGTGTACAAGTGTGCGCGGGCCGGGAGCGGTCCGAGGCCCTTGGGGGTGCACAGCGGGCTGTGGCCAGCAGCCCTGGCACGCGGGTCGGGGAATGCAGGCCGGCGAACTAGAATTAGGCACGGACGCGTAGCGGTTGATTAAAGATTATTTTACTTACACCATAGATGGTCGCGGTGCAGGCAGGAAAACTTGCTTGAGTTGCAGTTACAGACAGGAAAGAAGAAAAGCGGACAAGGGTTCTAAACTCGCGAACTCTAGCCCAATCCGGCTGAAGGCTCTAAAAACGCGAGCCCGTCATGTCAGCCGAAGAAAACAACTCGGAGAAAAGCTCTGGATACACTCGCACGAAGTTTGCTAGGCTCCGTGGAACTTGCGCGCGGGGAAGGGGTTGGTCGAGGGATCGCTCGGTGACGGGGAGAGGCCAGAGGTTGATCAGACCCCTATAACCTTCTTAAGGTACACGCTGGGCCCGTTAGGCTCCGCAGCGCTTAGAGTTCTTCACAAGACGTGAAGTCCTCCTCCTCCACTAGATGGTTATGGAGTCCTCCAACTTGGGCGGAAACCGCTCAAGCCTCTTATACGGCTAGCAAGCCAATTACTAGCCGCCACGTGGGAATAATTTAGAACTGGCCAATAGTGGGACACAAATTTGCATGCGGGTGGCGGGAACTTCTTTGCACCGGGGTTTTCTCTTTGCAACTGAGAAATACACCCTACAAAGAAAGCTCCTCGTGGCGGGAAATAATTTAGCAGTGCCGAAGCGCGCACACAAAATCACACCCTTGGGTTGTGACATCCCCCCTTGCTGAAGGCACAGCTGAATTATACCACACACTCGTCCCTCGGGTGATTGAGAGCTCTTACCACGGGTCATTGAACTAAACGGGTAAACACAAAATTCACTAACATAAGAAGTTTGTCCTGTAGGGATCGAATCAAATAATAACCAGCACAAATACATATACACATAATCAGATTCATAACAAAGAACTGCACAATTAGGGCTTCAGTGGGCGTCATGGCGAAGTCGCCCGTCAAGCCCTCACTTCTTCCGATGATGTTATCCTTCTTGGGGCTTCTCTCCGCCACGCACTCTGAATTCCGGATCTGTAAACAAAACTCTCAGAAGATAAGTTAACGTATATCAAAATATTTATAAAGTTTCCATGGAACTACACTATAATTTCTAAAACATATAATACAGATGTTTGCTACTTTAAACTACCTTCTCTTGCACACTGAACTAGATGAAATCGTTGAGGAGCCGTCGTCTAGTTCGTCTAGATAATGGAAACTTAACTCATAGGCCAGTTGCCATTGGCCTGCGTCCCCTAAAATCCGAAGTTGCCGCTTATTGAGTCCAGAACACTGTAGGAGAAATCCAAACATATATCGCTCCTCTGGTGTTCTCTGTGGCAATGATGGAAGATCGGATTCA